TTTTCCCATTTCATCCTCACCTATTTTCCCCCATCTTGAAGAAACTTCACTAAATTACAAAAAATTATAAGGACAAAACAGGAAATACGTTAAATTAGCATGGAAAAGATTTAATTTTGAAAACTACTTAGATCGATCCCCTAAGTCCTGTTATTGTTTAAGCACAGGATTCGGGTAGCAAACGCAGGAATCATCGTCATCCCTCAACATCTGCAAAGCTGAAAGAGTCCAAGCCCTCAAGAGTTTCTCCTTCGAGTCCCTGCTTCTCTTCTCCCTTTCTAAATCCCCAACTCTCTGTTTCTCCATTTCGTCTTCTTCTTCTGATTCATCTCCATATTCGAATCCCTAAGTTTTTGTAAGGTATATACTTCAGTTTGTCTCTTAGCAATCTCAATCTGCAGTATGGGTTTTATTTTGTGAATTTTCTGCCAAGACCTCAGCGTGGGCAATCCTCAAAAAACCAAATTTCCAGCATCCCCTTAGCTGGTCTGTGGCAATAAACCCTAGTTTGAATTTGAGCTTTAAATCGTGCTTCCTTTGGTTCCATTTTGATAACTTGAATGTTCAGGTGCTTGCAGAATATAGATTGGGATTAGTTTAATATGGGTTTCGGTGCAATTTACAAGTTTTGGTTATTTGGGTTGTTGGTGGAGGGACACAGTTTTGTTCCTTTACTCTTTTTTTTTTTAATAGTGTTTTAGCTGATTTGAGTCATTTGGAGAGCAAATGGTAGGTTAATTGAGCATTAGATATTTTTGGTTATTTTTATCGATCAAAGTGATCAAGTTAATGTTTCATGGGTTTGGAGCAAGGGGACTCGGCATGCATTAGTGCACCTTTACAAAAATATTTAATTAGAGAAACTCCAAAGTTGTTGGAGTAAAAAATTTTAAAAATAAAAAAATTAAAAAAAAAAGGAAGAAGAAGAAAAACTGACCTGGTTAACATGTATTGAGTCCAATATATATTTTTGTTTGTCCAAGAGGTCTTTTGAGGGTTTAGAATAATACTAAAGCTTCAAATGTTAAAAGGTTAGTGATTTTCCTTTGAAACCACTAGTTTCTCTTCGAGAAGTCAGAATTCGCCATAATACTCAAAGTAGTATTAGAAGTTATGCATTTAGCATTTTCAAGCTGTTATGCAAGCTTGTAGGTTTAATTTTTTACATTCTGTATTTATCAGGATAGAAGTTCAAAATGACTAGGTTATGTTTTATTTCTGGAAAATTCAAACTCTTCAACTATATGGCTGTTTGGGACTTGGCCTGAAGGGCAGTTTTCTGCCTTAGATAAGCTAAACTTTAAATACGTGTCTCCAACACTACAAATCAGTTGCACCTTTTTCGCACTTTTTTGAGGGTCAGTACTTAGTACTTGGGAGGCCCAGGGGGCCATTTTTGGTTGTTTACTTACATCTAAATTCCATATTGCTGTCACTCAGCAATTGAAAGTTTCTTCACTGCTGAAAGTTGCTGGGTTTTACTTGTTCTCATACTTATCACACCTTAAGAATTAGTGTGGAGTTAGAGATTCTGGTTTCCTCCAAAACAATATTTCAACTTTAGGTGGTTTCAAATATCATTATTCTGATACCAACAAAATTGTGTTGTTACCCTTGCGAGATGATAGCCTGAGTTCATTTTTTTGACAGGTTTTAAAGGAATTTGATTAGTTCCCAAATATTATACAGAATTAATGTTCAAGGTGGTTCGCCCAACCATCTATTAGTATTATTACTATTATTTTTTAATTTGTTAATACAGATGCTTGATTGGTATGGTGATATTTATTTTTATTGTTTATTTTTTACATGAATGCAGCCCTGCTTCCATAGCTTCTCATAGTATTTGATGCTGGGAACAGTATGCCGCTGATAGTTTGGAGAAATGCAAAGGTATTATGCTGCCAGCTGCACTAGTGCAGTGAATAATAGTGCAACAGGGGGTGGCTCAGCCAGGGATAATGCCCGAGCTCGCTCGTCTTCCTTACCACCTAACTTCTCAGTAAATTCTAGGTAATAATTTGAAAACAATGCCTTTTGCACTCTTTTCTGCTGATTCTTCTTATGTAATTTTAGAGTTTCCATCATACCATATTTTAGGATATCCTTCTGTCACGAAAATATCATCTATGCATTCACTTCAGAGAAATTCTATGGTTTAGAGTTTAGTTTTCTAGCCCTCCAGGCAGGCTTGGCAATGTCTTATTTGATATTTCAAAACCATTTTATTATATTTTATTATTATTTTTATAATAATCACCACCATTATTATTGTTGTTATTATTACTAATTAGCACAATTTGGGTCATCAGACTGTAAGATAAGATTTTTGTTTAAATTTGTTTGTGAAAAAAGAAAATCTATTTATTATTAGCTTTTTTATATTGGGATGTAAAATTCTCATATTCATATGATAAATACATTTCCTTCCCCTATAAACTATAAAATAAATTTCAAATTTACAGGCGACAGTCACAGTTAACGGCATACAAGTTGAAGTGTGATAAGGAGTCGCTTAATTCCAGGTAATGTCTCACCCCTGGTGAATACACTGGTGTATTTGTCCTTTATGGTTCAGAATTTGATGACTTCGCTAAATTGGCTAAAAAATTTATCACTTCAATTTGTTCGATGTTGACTTACATAATCATTTCCTTGTTCCATTCTCAGACTTGGACTGCCTGATTTTCATCCCCAATCTCAAAATTGCCCTGAAGAGACTCTTACTAGAGAAAATGTGCATCATGGATACAAGGAGACTATTGATGGAATTGAGGTACAGTCGTATTATTGACCAATATTCTTTACTTCTTTTGAGTGGCAATTCTATATGCATGGTTGTTACTCTGTAATAGTAGGAATATACTGTTTT